TGGCAGTAAATATAAATATAAGGTTTATTGCTGTACCTTACAGAGCAAGAGATACATATTCTCTCCAATTTAAAACTGGACAGAATTCAAACACAAAATTTCTCCTGTGTTATGTAATCAATAATAAAAAAATTAATATTTACATACAGATGTTGCTCTGTTCCCCACACGCATCCTCTGTTCCCCACACGCATCCTCTGAGGTGCTGAGCAGGAGCTGTCAGCACATTACTGAGATGGACTAAATTTGAAAAAGACTTATTGAGCAGCTCTATCCCAGTATCTCTTAAACACAAAGAATGTTATAGTTACTGCCTGATAATTTTTACACAAGAATAAAACCACAAACCTAAACAACCTAAACAAATCAACAACCAAACCCCAACAAAGAAAAAAACCACAAAGAAACAAATCAAACAATAAATGATCAAACAATAATCACGAAAATTCAAGGGGATATAAGGGTTTTAAATGAGTACTGGAATTTATAAGGTCCAAGTATAGTATATGAAGCTGAGAAAAACCTCTGTCTCCCTTCAGCAAATACTAACTTCAATAGCCTTATGAAGTTTATCATCATCTTCAGTAACTCAGCTCTGCATCTCAGTAACATTAGGCAAGAAACTCCATTGATGTGCAAAATAACAGACAAGAAACAAGCTAAAAAGAGGTAACAAAGAAGAGTATTATAAAGACTACATCACACCATCGCACAGCTTTACAAAAACTAAGTCACCTGCTCCAATCTTGAATCAAACAAACATTGAGCTCTAGATTTCACAATATGTTAACATATTCCCTAATCATGACAAGAATCTTGAGAAAAGATGAAAAGTAGCCTTCATGTGTTGCTTTTAGCCAGATGCTGATACTGCCTACAAGCCAAGCACAGCTCTCAGACTGTCACATGAAAAGATCTATGCAATGACAAGATAAAAAGATAGATCTATGCAAATGATGACTGTAAACATGTTAAATTCTTTCTGTCTGTGGGAGCACTGCAGATATTTTTTACAATGTTCCAGAAGCATTATTACCATATAGCAGTTTATGCATTACTCCACCAGAAAAACTACAGCAGTTCCCGTACCAAAAGAGACTACCCACCTTCCAGTTTCACTATACTGAAACCTGAAAAAACCTTCTCAAGAATAAAAGGAGTCTTCCTTGCCAGGTAAGTGCCTGCATTGGGATTTCCTGGTAAGGTTCTGGTGGTGAGTGGGCTGCAGGGGTGAAAGACACCAGAAGCTGTCCCCATGACAGACAGAGCCAGTTCCAGTCAGCTCCAAGATGGACCTGCTGCTGCCCAAAGCTGAGCCCCTTGGCCATGCTGGTGATGCCTCTGCTACAAGGTATTTAGGAAAACACTGCACAACAGCTGAGAGGGGTGACAATAACTGAGAGAAACAACTCTGCAGACCCCAAAGTCATTCAGAAAGGACATGTAGGAAGTACTCCAGGCACTTAGAGATTTCCCGACAGCCCACTGTAAAGCAGGCTGTGCCCCTGTAGGCCCACAGAGGTCCACAGTGAAGCAGAGATCCACCTGCAGCCCATAGGGAACCCCACACTGGAGGTAGTGGATACACCCTGAAAGAAGATGTAGCCCACAGAGAGTCTATGCACCTTGCAGGAGCTGTAGCCCATGGAGCAGATACATGGGCAGGAATGCTATTCCAGGATGGAGCCCTCTTTTACTTTGGAGATCATATTAAGTGCTCAAGTGGTTCTTTATGGATGAATAAATTAATATATTAGAAAATATATGTAAAAAATGCATCATTGTACATTAAAGAATCAGAGAATGGTTTTGGTTCAAAGGGTTCCAAACCCCTACCATGGGCAGGGAACATTCCACTAGACCAAATTGCTCCAAGCTTGATCCAACCTGGCCTTGAAGATATCCAGGGATGGGGCATCCACTTCTCTGGATAACCTGTGCCAGTACCTCACCATTCCCTCAGCAAAGAATTTCTAAATATTTTACCTACATCTCTCATTCCTCATCCTGAAAGTCATTTCCCCTGGTCCTATCACTATAGACCTTTGTAAATAGTCCCTCTCCAGCTTTCTTGTAGTCAGTCTCCTTTTACTTCCTGGAAGGCGCTCATAGAAGGCCACTAAATTTGTCAAATTTGCCTTAGTGAAGTCACATTGGCTGTCATCCATCACCTTCTTATCTTCCAAGTGCACCAGAGGATCTGCTCCATGATTCTGCTTAGTAAGCACCTGGTGGCCAATGAATGTGTCTTCTGGGGGAAAAAAACTATGCACTGTTACTCATACTCCATCTTCAGCAGTAATGTATACATGTAGATGTTTTTACCCACACACTTTTCAGCTTGGTGGTTAGGACACACTTCTGATTAACAGAAAACAGGGAGCTGAAACCTCTGATACAGGAGAGAACAGAGACAGTATTTGTCCTGTTTCATTAAACTGTTCTAACCACTAGGCTATTATAATCCTTTCACTTTCTCTCTTCACCACTAAGTGGGATTTTGTGTTTTGTGCCATTGGTTTTGGTTTTTTTCTTCTTTTTTTTAAGGTGGCCTCCGGATTGCTTTTTACAGGAGACAGGATCAGTATTGCTGATTCAGTAATCCAAGCAGAGGACAGGTCCTTAGTCTGCCAAATCTTACCAATGAAACCCTTCCAAGCACCCACTCTCAAGCATCAGGAATCTAGAAATACCCACCTTACTGACATTTCCTACTGGAACTCTGCTCAGGAGTACCTAACATTTCTCAAAACTCAGTATAGATAGGCTAGCTAATAGGCTTCAGTTGGCTAAGTCTTTTTCTGGGGATCATTATTATTTTCCAAGAGTATTTGTACCAAAAAATACTTGTACCAAAAGTAATATTCAGTCTGATCCTCTGTATTACAGTATCTTAGCAATAGAAAACCGAGAAGAGCCATGTAAGCCCGGAGTCTGTTAAGAGGCCAGCTTTGCAGCAAGGAAATACATGCCTTCTAGGTTGTTCAAAAATAAGATTTCCAATCTTAAAGCACAACTGTTCCAGTTTCCAAACTACTTGGCTGATTTCCCCATGTCTACCTTTTCTTCCAGCAATTATATAGTTAGTTAGGCAAAGTATTTTCAGTAATTTTGAATTACCAAACCTAAAGTGAAATAACTTTTCAATGGGTCTTTTCCTGACCAAGTTCTTTGCTTGCAGAACTTATTTTTCCCTAGCAGTTCACCAGCAGAAGAGCAACTTTTCAGCACAAGTAAAACTGAGTTTTATCTTCAAATATTGCAGTATCACAGGCATATTTCAACTCTCTGGTTGAAACTCCAAAATAAACAATGACTATCCCTTAACAGAAGTGTTAAAACAGCCTTAGAAGTCTAGAAAAACCCATGTAGTAAATATCTCTTATCTTCCACACAGGAAGGTAGTGTTATTTTAAACTGGCAAACTACACAAACTGGTATCTGGCATGTGTTTTAAGCGTCTCATGCATAGCCACAGAACAGATAATCTTCACATTCATTAAACTCCAAGTTCCTTTCTAAATCCTTTCTATGATACTCTGTCAAACATATCACATAAAGCCATTTATATTTGAGACAAGTTTGAATATTTCAGGAAGGCTGGCTTCCAAAATTTTTAAAATCCTACTCACAGACGTCAAAACAGCTTCTCCAGATTCTCACAAAGAACTTTAATTCAGCTTTGTAGAGATGACAGGTAAAATCTGTACCCAAGTTCATTTGCCTCAGCCTTTGGAGGCCTCGATCTGTTTTAATCATAACTGCCAGAAGCAGTGAAACTTTTTTCCATAGAGAGAATTAGACAACCAAGCCAGTAAGTATAAAAATTGTAATTTTCACATATTGAACCACAATAGACAAGAAATAGGCTAAAAAAGGTAACAAAGGCCACCATATACCATAAAAAAGTGTTTCATATCAAGAATAGTTTTGTTACTGATTGAATCAAACCTTGTTCACCAAGACAAAGATGGATTCCACAAGAATTTTGATACTCCAAGGAAAAAAACAGCCTAGGCTTGCTACTTTGAGTACAAAGAAGATTCAGAAGGGATGCAGAAAAGTTGGAAAGATACAGACTAAACAGATCAGACGGAAACACCACTTAAAAAGATCAATACAACAATCCAAAAACACTGTAACAAACAGCTGTAAAGGTACACCAGTACCTTCTCACACAGAAGTTTGTGTGAGAAAGAAAACTACTCATTTCCTTGTGGTTATGATACAGATATCCCCCAATCTTCCCGTTCGTGACTGACTACAGGGAAACAATCGCAGTGCCAACCCCCCAGCATTTTCAAAGCTTACCAATACTCTATAAAGTTCCCACGTTCTGGAAAACACCACGAAAACAAAGATAAATGTAACACAGGACATACAGTCTTTACATCTCTCTCATCTCTGCTCTTGATATGTAATCTATTCTCACCTTCGGGGCTCCTGCTGGTCCTTCCCCCCCCCCCCCATTTTGATTACAGATAGCCATCTCCCTTGCTACAACTTATTTTATACTAAATTTATCACCAGTTTTTGGATGTTAACAGAGTGCTCCAAACGCAGAGCTCCAAGAGGTGGTCTCTCACTTCCCTCCCCATCCCCGTTTAGGCACACACCACCTTTCACCCCGTTGTCATCTGTACCAAAACGCTTCACCTGATAATGACAGCACCGCACACTGCAACCCCACAGACCCGGCGCGCGGCACCACCGCGCTGACGAAACCCCGTCCGAGAGCAGAACGACCCAGAGACAAAGCGCTGAGCGCACACATGGGCCGTGCCCGCCGCAGCAGCCTTGGGCGTGCCGGAGGAACAGGCGGAGGAGCCCGCGGGGCTCTGCCCACCGCACGCTCCGGTGCGGGGCCGCCGCCCGCCGCACCGCCTGCGCTGCCCGCCCACTGCGACACCGCTTCTCAGGGGAACTCCCGCTCGCCTCAGCCACTGCGCTGCCTACCTGCGTCCCGGTCGGGCCAGGAATGGGAAGAAAGAAAAGGCGGGAAAGGCAGGAAACGAAGGGAACAGCCGCCTCACCTGTCCGCGGCGGCCCCGCGGTTCCCCCAGGAGGCGGCACCGCCGCTGCCCCGCCCCCTCCTCTCCCTCCCGCCACTTCCGGGGGCGCCACAAAAGTCTCGGGGCGCCGCTGGGGCTGTGGCTGTGGTTGGTCTGGCCAGGAAACTGTGGCCCCCGCAACGGGCCTTGCCGGTACCTCTGCCGGAGCAGGTGCGTGCCCGCGGCAAGGCGGATGTTCACGGGTGTGCCCGCCGGGCGGAGAGGGCGACGGGGGGCGGTGGCGGGAAGCAAAGAGTTCGCGTTGGCGTCGCTCCGTGCATGCGCGGGGTGCGAGGCCCAGGGGATGATCACTCGCTACCGCCGCTCCCGGCATGCCCTGCGCGGGCGCGATGCACACTAGGATGTGTAGTGCTGTGGGCAGGAGGGATGCAGAGGGATGCAGAGGCGCCTTCCCGAGAGGAATCTGTGGAATTCTAGATGGCGGCTGACGCTACCGCGGGCGGCAAGACACGACTTCGCGTGCCTACCCACTTATCCTCATAGGCGCCCTTCCCAGCCCTCTGTCGCACCTTGCAAAACCAGGGAGGAATGTAAGCGAGTCTGTCAGTCTGGTTTACACATTTTTTGAAGCACCTGGGTTAGAAAAGCGGTGTTTTGAAGCTGTGTACTGGTGACAGACTTTAGGGGAACAGGAGGGGGACTTCTTACATGAACATATACTGATACAACTAGCGAGGATGCATTTAAAGAAAGAGAACAAGTTTAGAGCAGATATTAGGAAAAAAATCTTTACTGAGAGGATGGTGAGGCACTAGAACTGGTTGCCCAGAAAAGCTATGCCTGTCCCATTCCTGGAAGTGTTCAAACCCAAGTGGGTTCGGGGCTCTGAGGGATCTCATCTAGTGTAAGGTGTCCCTGAACCTGGCAACAGTTTGGAAGTTGATCTTTAAAGTCCATCTCAACCCAAATCATTCTGTGACTGTGATTCAGTGCTCCACAGGCAATTCCTGTTTCTTATAAGAACAGCAGTCAGAAGTAGGGGAATTGGTCAACATCTGGACTGCAAGAGTAGTTTTGCAGTTAGGATTGTGTTTGTCTGTAGGAGAAAATGGGCATTAAAGCATGAAATAGCTTAGTTTTAGCAGGTGTGACTATTTTGGCTAAGCCACTAAAGCTAAAAGACCACTGGTTATATGGAAGTTTCATTCTCTTTGCTAAAATACTTTCTAGTGTATACTTTTTGAGCTTCTAAGGTACTAAAAATGGATAGCTGATTTTATGTCTTTGATTTTTAGACTACCAGATGCATTATGAGTATTGAAATTTAGCATATTAATTATATGAATAAACAAGAAAACCAGAAGATTTTATAAATTGTTCTTTTCAGGGCTGTTTTATTTGGCATTTTTTTAGGAGCAGCCAAACAAAGTAAATTAGGTAGTGGGGGAAAAGTTTAGCAGGGGCACAAGAAATTAAATATTCAGGAAGGAAGCTCATATTAGGCAGCAGTCCAGCAGACTTAAGTGCTTAACAGTTTGCTGGATCAGGATCCTACTAAATTAATGTATGTGAGTGCTACATAGCACATTCTTCTTTGGCTTACCTAAGTCATTGGCTTACCTAAGCTCTTCAAAATGCTTATAAGAAAAACTGCCATTGCAGAAATGTGGATAGCATGTCTGCTTAGCAGAAGTGTATGCTGTGGTCCTGGTTAGAAGTATGTTGTTCCTGTGCAACTTCATTTTATTAAAATGGGCAATTTTGGGATCCATGGAGAATATTTGCTACTTCAGGCAAGTTTCAAAAGTATTTGAAAAGTAAAGATTGTGCTCTAAGATCTTTTCTTCCCATGTGTGAAAGTCTGTGTCAAGCCAAAAGAATCCATCATCCCTGTGGTTGAGTAACAGGTCATACTGGGCTAGTTTTGACTTCAGGGAACTTAAGTGCAGGACTGGCCTTGAGGAAGCCCCTGAGTAAAACTTGAATGTGTCCCCCTGGCAGGTAGGATATTTTAATTGCCCTTCACCAATATTCTTTTACTGTCAGAAATACTAGTTAATTGACTTCTTTTAAACAACAGAAACATGAATTTACTTCATGGCAGCCTCACCTCATTTGCTGCTGTTAGTTATCCAATTTACCGGTTTGGTGGGTTGGTTTAGCATGTGTTGTCAGATACAAATTTACAGGAAACTGCAGTGTCGGAACAGTCCTGTGTTCTGGCTCCTCTCCTTCCCTGTTCTTAAACACCGTCTTTTTTCACAGGTGAGACCGTGGTGTTGGGAAGTACATCTGTGTTAGTTCTGTCAGGTATGAAAATTTTACTTCAAAGCACTAATGCTGTATGACAAGAGACTTGGCTTGTTTTGATAAACCAGCTCTTGCTTGTATAAAATGAAGTGTTCAGTGAGGCAAAAGCCTTGTCACATTTTGAATGGGAAGTTCCTGTCATGCGTTTCCCATTGCTAACAGCAGTGCTTAGCTCGGGGTGCAGGTTCCAAAAATGACATATAGCATTTTCTTTTCTGGGAGGAAAGGATGAAATGAAAGGTATAATCACTCTTAAGAGGTCTTTACCTCCTTTCCACCACCAGCATAGTAAAGGTAGGTCAGAATCTGTAAATTGAAAAATAGACATCTTGTCCTGCACATTTTGTTTTCAAATACATCACCACATAATGAGATGGTGTTCATTCCAGAGTGACAGGATACTGTCACTTCCCCATAATTATAAGCGACTTATCACATATGGCAGACAAACTAATTACTCTTTTTAGCAGGCTACATAATGTCACAGTCTGGCATTGGAACAGTGGTAGGATAAGAAATGAATTTACTTAATGCTGTGGATAACCAGTATTCACTATGAAATTATGACATGGCTGACCTCAAGTTTGGTCCTGCTCCTGTAGACATTGATGAAAGACAGATTAAACTGCTGCCTTGTCTATGCTGCTGGAAAAGATTTGGGGAAAAAAGCAAACCACAAATGATGTAGAGGCTGCATCAATTATCCTATCTGTGAATATTTCAATTTTCATCATTACATACTTATTTTGATGTTATTCTTGCTAAACCCAAACAGGTTCTGTATCAGTGGCCCAGCTTGCTAATGACATTATTGCTTATTAATGTTATCAGGGAAGTCAGCTTGTGTCAAGGCACAAATTGTTACCTCACATGCAGAGTCTGGTTTGAAATTTCAAAATCTAATTGTCTGATTAATTAGTAAAAAAATAAATTTCCATTCATTTTTCTCTGGGAAGTTGTTTTTTTTCCTATTTGACTATGTACATTTTTCTCAGCTAAGATGAATCTTTGGACTGTCTCAAGCACAACCAAATTTGAGACGTATCCAAGAATGAGAAGAACAGTTTCTTTCTCTCTGATACCATTTCCTTTGCCTGTCCAATGAATGTAGTAGAAGCCTCCATTGTGTAGAAATTTTAAAATATAGTTTGACAAAATCAGCTCTGCTTAGAACAAAATTAGTGTTTCAAGCAGTGCTCCTTGTTGCTAAAGTTAACAGTGGATGTGTATAGTGGATGGTGTAATCTCTTCTTAGAGGCTACATAACCAGGATATGTAGCTCTGACCTACAAAGAAGTAAGTAAAAGCTTGACAATGTCCTTCTCTGACAATTTATCTAATAAATTCTGTCCATTTTGTTCAGATTGGCAATGGTTCGTAGTGGAAAAAGTGGTGGACTTCACTTGAAGCAGATTGCATACTACAAGCGAACAGGGGAATATCATCCCACAACATTATCAAGTGAAAGAAGTGGAATCAGGAGAGCTGCCAAAAAATTTGTTTTCAATGGTAAAACTTTTCTCTCAAATTATGCTAAAAATAGACATTAAGGTGAAGATTTGCTAATATTAAAAAAAAAGTGAGATCTTGCTTTGTGTGATTTTTGTGTGATTCTGTGATTTTAATAAGCATTCTTTATGAGACAAATGCTCTGCAAATCCCTGGTTAATATGTAACAGGATGTTTGTAGAAATGGAAGCTCAATCTGCTTTAGTCCATTCCAGGACAGGTTTATTTATCTATATAAAAGCCAAACCTCATGTTTTATCTTTTTTATACTGTAGAAATATGTAGTCACTGCAATCCATAATGGAAAGGATTACAGAAGAGGAAATAGATCTGCAGCTAGAGACAAGGAATGCTCCATCCAGTGTGGGGGATGACTGGCAGAAGTACAAGGACAATTTTGCCATCAGTCACCTGAGAGCCTGCAGGCCCTTCCCGACTTTATTTCAGCCCTGGGAGATACATGAGCCTCTATGAGCAATTGTAGTCTGCTGTACTGTCTCAATCCCATCAAAACTGCTAGTGTTGTGTAGAGAGAAGGCAGGGAGGAGTTAAATCTTTGACTATCAATGCCAGGTTGCTGGCAGGCACTCAACAGCTTCACAAACAACAGTTTCAACACTCCTACCTCCCCTTTCCAGCCCCAGTGTTAGTTTGTGTTTCAGTCAGATTTCATGTGGGAATGCTGTTTGCATTCTGACTTGCACTTGTAACTCCTTGTGTCCAGATAATAAACATGGCTGAACTAATGGGTGTTTGGAGGACATAATTGAAATGTTTATAAACAAAAAGCTATGTTTACAAAAGTGAACTTATTGTAATAAATGCTATTCTGAGTCATGCTCAGTAGTTTAGTAAACCAAACAGAAGACAAAGCACTTGCTTATAATTTGCTGGTACTTCTTTCAGAAAACAAGTTGTTCTATGTTGGAAAAGACAGAAAACAAATGCGCCTGGTAATTGTTTCAGATGAAGAGAAGAAAAAAGTCCTCGAGAAATGCCACAAAAATGCTGCTGGCACTCATCATGGTATATCAAGAACACTGACTTTAGTGGAGTCTAATTACTACTGGACCTCTGTAACAAATGATGTCAAGCAGTGGGTATGGCTTCATAGCTACAGGATACTTTCAGTAGTCTGTTACAAATATTTGGTAATCCTATGAACTTGGGTACAGCAAGTGCCCAGCCTGTTTCACAAGAAGGAAATGTAAGCTTGCAATCACACTGCAGCTGGTCATCTTGGCAATGCATGGTGTTTCTTTTTGCTCTTTTACTACTGGCTTGCGCACTACTATGGTGTGGTGGGGAGCCATAATCTCTTTTGGCAGGCAGGGCACATCCAGTCCCTGAGAGAGATTTCTTGTGCAAGGACTCTCATGTATTTTTGTTAGGATGAAATGGCCATCACAAGGATGTGTGACCAGGGTAGCTACTAGCAGATAAGAATGTGAAAATGGTGTCTCTGCTTTGCAATAAGTTGTGTTCAGGAAATAGTTAAATGTGTCAAAGCTTGGGAAAGTTTCTTCTCCTCCACCCAAAGATACAGGCACAAGAACCCCTAGCACAATTTGACTGTTCAGGAAACTATGTAAATAGTTTAAGGCCAAATTACTGTTGCTATCGGCTTGCTGCAACACGTGAATACTTTGAGTTCATGTGTAACTGTTACATGACATGAAAATAAGTCTTTCCTTTCAATTTAGATTGGACAAGGGTTCTCTTTCCCATAGATTAAGTTGTTGTGCATGGGAGATAATATATACTTCCAGTGTTTTTCAGTCACAGCATACATAGATGAGCCAAAATGGGAATGATTGGGACTTCCTTTCACTCCCAGTTGCTTCCTACTGCCTTTACTATTTACAGATAATAATGGATTTTAAAATTTGTAGTGTGGACTTGAAAGAGCACAGTGCTTTCAGAATGGAGAGAATTCAGCTATGAGTTCTTTTACATGTCCCTTTCCTGGACTTCAGTATTGTTTGGTTTTATTTTGGTTTTTTGCTGTTTCTGAAAAATCTAAGGGTAAAAAATTGTAAGAAAAGTGATAAATTTGTTTTGCATTGCCTACTCTGACCTGATTTACAGAGATATAGTGGAGATCTATGATTCTGATGGTTGTCATCACCTCAACATCACTTTTCATTGATAATACCTTCCCTGATGTCTTCTCTAGGTGCATGCTTGCCAGCATTGCCAGGTGGCAAAGAACATAGCCACCAGAGTACCCAAAATACACCCTATCAAAGCAGAGGACCCATGGACAGCAGTCACTATAGAACTAACGGGACCTTTCAGTGTTACCAACAGAAGTAACAAATACATCACAATTATGACAGATTTGTTTACAAGATGGACTGTTATCTTACCACTGCATGACACTTCAGCAGCTGAAATTGCTAAGGCAATCATAAAGGTGTTTTTCTTATATGGGCCACCTCAAAAGATGCCTATTGATCAGGGGAAGGAGCTTGTTTATCAGGTAATTATTTACATGGCTAGTTAATCAGTTTTTTGTTGTTGTTTTTTTCCCCTCAAGAAAAATACATTTTCCCTTATATTAGATTTGAATTTTAGAATTTTTTTCAGAAAGACTTTAGTATAAAAATGTCAAACCAATTATTTGCAATTGTAATGCTATGCAATGTTTCCTAGGACTTTATTCTTTGTAAAAAGACCACAGTAAAATTATCTTCTGGCAGTCATAGTGCAGGTTTTGTCACTTATTTGAATTGGCATAAATTTGTACACTATATTCTGATGTATGTCTTTCATCCATTTTGCCCAGGATAGCAATAGCTAAGGGTATTTTTGAAGTTGGCTTATAGTGATTATGAAGGATTTACCACACTTTGTTCCTCTAAGAGATGAAGTCATCAGATTGTGACATGGAGGTAATGACAGTTCAAGTTAAGTGGCAAAAATGTGGTTAGGAACCATCAATCACTGGCTCCTAAGCCCTACTTAATGCTTTAGCTCTCATTCACAGTCCTGGTGTGTTCTGTGCCAATATGTATGCAAGATTTTTCCCTGTCACCATCATATCAACCAAAAAGGTGGAAATCTGAGGGTTATTTTTACTTGAAATGGGATACAAAACAGGAGAAATGTTCACTAATTGTGTTCTTCTTATTTTGAAGATAAATGAAGAACTGTTTGCACTGTTTGGAATGAAGCAAATTGTATTGTCTTATCCTCAGACACATGATGTAAATGAAAAAATTTCCAAGACAATCAAAACTTTCCTTAACAAGTATTGCATAGACCATCCAAATGATTGGGATGAACATTTATCTGCTATTGCCTATGCTTTCAATTTGACAAATTTGGTATGTGAAGATTCTTCTTCTTTTGACTGAAGTCCTCCAAAATGTCAGCAAAGTTGTATGCTAAATTTCCTTGCTTTTGGTTCCCATACAAATAGGAGCCAGATCAAAACACTCCATATTTCCAAATGTTCAACCGCAATCCACGTGTTGTTGAGCCCATGAATATGTGTGTGGAAGGAGAATACAGTAGTTTTGCCAAAATATTTGAAGCAGCTAAAAAATTCAGTCAAGCACTGGAAGAAGACAAAACCTCAGGTTGCCAGGTAAATGTTATATATTTGAATTTTACTAGTAAGAATATTGAAGATAAAGATGAAAAGTTCTGAGGTATAAAGTATAACTAACCTTTTAAAATAATGTGGGGGGTTGAGTGGTGGTTTTTAGTTTGTTTTCCTTCCCCTGTGATCCTTTAATTTCGGTGTAACACGTATGTATTTGGAGGGAGTAACCTTAAAAGAGACCTATTGTCAGAAGTTTACTATGTCTGACTTGGAGGGTGGAATAGAGAAGTAGAAAACTGTTGCCTATGGAGTAGTGATTTATGAAGATAAAAGCAATTTCTTCATCACTTGTCAGTCCCACATAATTACAAACTACACACATCTAAAACCACTCAATGTCATACTTAAGTGCTGTTAACCAATGCTACAAAATTGCATTATTACTTTTAGAAAAAAAAGTAACTCACATTTATTTTTCTGTAGGCAGATAAAAAAACTCCAGATGAACAAAAAATCAGAACCAAAATCACAGTCAAAAGGAAGTCAAAACAATTAAATACTCTTCAACTTAAAGTTGGTCATGAAGTCCTCAGGCAAAGAAAAAACTGGTGGAAAGATGGTCGTTTCCAGTCAGAATGGATTGGTCCTTGTATCATAGATTACATCACAGAAAATGGCTGTGCAATATTAAGAGATTCTACAGGATCCAGGCTGAAAAGACCCATCAAGATGTCTCACCTCAAGCCATATGTAAGAGGGTCCAGTGAAAAAGGTGTATATAATAAATTTTAAGTTTGTATTTTTATATATGTAAAAAGGGTTGAGTTTTTTGTTTTGTGTTTTTTAACTGCTCTCTTGTGGTGTTAGGTTATTAGAATGAAAAAGTATCATTCAGTAACCAGTGAGAGTTATATTTGCAGACACAGTTGTGTAATAGGTAAGTAAGCTAGTGAGTGTGTGTGACGTCAAACTACGCAGAGCATGGAACAGAGCTCATGAATAATGTTCAAAGTCTTATTAAAAATAGCCTCTATTAAAGTTGCTTCTACTCATTGGCTTGGATCTATTTGTGCTGGCTGACAAAAGTATAAGGATATGCTAGACGTAGAAGCAGGCTGACCTGTTTTCAAGGAGCATTTTCTTACTCTATTTTGGTGTAGGCAGGAGTCACATTAATTTTGCTTATGCAATGGAAACTTTTTTTTACAACATTGGAGTGTCTTCTAAAGCCTTAAAATAGAAAGACTACATCAGGGAACTGATTTTGGAATAGTTTATTTTAAATTGTCCTATTAAAGAAGTCAGCATTCCTCTTACAAGAGTAAATAGAATTGTCATGCTCTGTGGTAGGATGGCTAGAAATTTCCAAAGATTTCGATAATCAACTTCTGCTCTTGGTCTTAAATTTTCAGCGTGCTGCTTTGCAAATCAAACAGTGGCAGCTGTTTCTTTTCTGCTCATGCTGTCTTTGAGTCACCAGAGGCATTTTCAAAAAAATTAAATACTTGGTATACAGAAGTCTGTCACAGACTTCTGTCACAGAACAAGCTGCTTTGTACTTCAGAGTTCTTGAAGAGCAAAATAATTCCAACACTATTGGCACATGTGGTCAAACTTTGGTTCTAGTAAATAGATAAACTACATTGAGATGGTAATTTCTTCCATCACCTCTTAAAGCTGAGAGATTCGCAGTGCTGAAACTAATTCTGGAATTTCATGTAACAAGCTGAAATATTTTTGTCAGTCATGAGTTATAGATTTAGTAACTAAGATACAGATTTCATCTCATGTCACGAGGTCTCTACTTTTTTTGAATGATCACTCTGTGCCTTCTGGTTCCTCATTAAATTGCTGATGCATGAGGAGGAAGTCACATGCATATCAATCATATAGATAATGAACAGCTATTACAATAATTTTTTGGTAAATTGTGTCACTGTATGAAAAGCTGAAAGTAGTGGTCTTTGTAGTATTAGAGCCTAATATGTTTACTGCTGAGTACTGCAGAAGCAGTGTGTAAACGTAGAATTCCTTTTTTCAGGAAGTGACTATATTGTTCTTGGCTGGGATAGATTTTAGGGTTTTTTGCTTTGTTTTTTTTTTTTTTTTACTTACCTACTTTATTTACTTTTTAAACTTTTTATGGTTTAAGGAAGCCTGTTGTGTGTTGAACTAAGATTTTCCAGTGAGAGCATGAAGAAACCACATTTATCCATGTGCATGCACAAAATGAAAGAATCTACATGTCCATTTATTCAAGTTAGTAGTTGTATTAAAGCATTAGTTCAGTAGGTGACTAAGATAGACATCAAGCTAATCATTGACTTAGCTAAGAAAAGCTCTAAATGTGGATCATCCCAGGGATTATTTTGTGGATGTAATGAGATGCCAAACATTTGATCCTCAGTGAAATTGGGAAATTCACATAATCAGTTTACTGTCACTCAAACATTCTTGTCCTCTTTTGGAAATTGTTCTGAAAAGTAAGTTAGCACCTCACTAACATTTCAGGTATGGCTTCAGAGATCTGAACTAATGGCTACTTTCCTTTTACAGGCAACCATTACATTCTACAAGGTGCAGTAGTTTTTGACCATGACTATATTGGCTTATCTGAAAGATCTAATAATTCAAGCCAAGCAGACTCTTTTGCTGAAAAAGAAATAAATGCCTTCAAAAGAGATATCGTGTCTGCTGTACAGATTCCACCTGCAGCCTGCAAAGACCAAGAATCAGCAGATGGTAAACTTGAGTCTGAGCTGAGAGAAGATCATTGCATTGAAGCAAACATTACAAAGCCAGAGCAGTGGCCATCACCTTGTTGGACACTTCAGACAAAGACAGAGGATACTTAAGCATAGTCTTCTATCACATTTCATTGCTGAGCAGTTTGGAACTACTGTGGCAAACTGAAAAAAAAAATTAATAGCTCCAACCTCCTTAGCCCAGTCCACTTTACTCCTTTATGAATCTCAGAGTGCTTTAGGTATCTAATTTGTCTGGGTGTTAAGGAAAAGCACTAGTAAAAGCACATATTCTGATCATGCATTTCAATTCCAGATTTTGTTGGTAGAATGGCAATATGGCCATGCCTTACTGTTATCCTCTCAGAACACAATGCATCATTTCACTGTAACGACCTTTTCCATTTAATCCTTGGATGACTTATTCCTAATGTCCACTGTGAGATGAATTAAAACCTAAGCAAGTTGGTGTAAATTTTTCCTCCACTACAGAGAAGCTCATGTCTTCCTTTTCCTGTTATATCACAGTTTTCTATTCATTTTGAGAAGCTGCAGCATCTGACTTGTACAACTTTTAATTTCTAATCTAATCCATTTAAGATCTCCCAAAACAATAAAACTGCCAAAATCAAATACATGTAGTGTTCTATGCATGAAACAATGAGGGCTTCAGCTGTTCCCTGCTCATCAAAAGTCTACTAGTGTAGGCAGTTTTAATATTTCAGGCATGTGAAAAACCCTTAAGAGCATTTAATATTAATATATGGTTTTTCCACAAACATTTGGTTTCTCCATTACAGTTACGTCTTCACTGAGCCTGTGCATGTTGGGAGATTTTCCATGGACAGTGGGCTATGAAACATGAAGCAGTGGTATTAACTTATTCTCTGATTTCCTTGAGTAAGTTGTTGCTGATCTGGACTTCCTGCTGAGATGACTGTTTCTCAAAGTCAGCAGCACAGCAATTTTTTCACATGGAAAACTGATGAGTGGAAGTCAATTTTTGGTGTTGTTTTGGTTTTGATGTTTTTTTTTGGGGGGGTTGTTTGTTTTGTTTTGGTTTTTTTTGGTAGGGAATTGACATGAAGAAAATTAGCAGAAAACTGAATGAAAAATTCAACAACTTATGGATGATGCTGTGGAAGATTTAACTTATCTTGCTCTCTGAATTTTTATGATCCCTCTCATTTCTGCTACGAAATGTCATTTGACTTAACACAAGTGGAGGAAAGTACTATTTATTAGGAGTTTTCAGTTAATTTTTGGGGAATTCGATGTGGTCATCAAGGCTGAGTAGGTACCTACCTCCTACAGAAACTTAAATGTACACTACAGTATGTCTTTAATATGGGCAGCATCTATGTGAGAAAAGAGGTCAGCACCATGTCAGAATCCTATCTTAAACTTCAAATGAAAAATAATTAATACTCTAACTATTTTGTGTCTTCTGAAAATGCAGTCCTACAGATAGTTTTTCTCCACCAAGACTTCAGAAAGAGTTTTTTTGAGTACATTGTGTGTATGCACACATGGAATAAATATTTATTTTTATATATCATCCTTTTGAAGAAAATATTACTGTCAGGGATAAAACTGGAGAGTAAGGCATTGTTTGTAAGATTCATTTCTGCTTTAGTAGCTGCAAAAGAGAACCAGCCTCACTTTTTTTTTTTCTTAGTCCAAGTGATCAGTTGCTGAACTGTGTGTAGTACAGCAGAGCTGTTTTCTGCAGTAGCCCTGGGCTAACCCAAGTGCTGTAGAATTGTTAGAGCTACACTGAAAAGAAAGAAAATGCTGCAGTGAGAGAGTAATGGGGAAAACACAGAAACAATTAACATACTGTGTACACTCAACATATTGCTGATTGCTCAGCCTTCTTGGTAATTTTGATCTACTGTATTAAGAAGCAGGCATTAGTGACTTACCAGTGCACTGAAATGTGGCCTCCTGTGGATGGGGGAGGTTCATTGAAATAAAATACGGGGTTTTCAAACTATTGACATGAAAAACATCACTGGAAAATGGAAAAGAAACAGTTTGGCCAAAACTGACAAAAGGAAGCAAGATTTAGCAGTGTCTTCAAGAAATGGGTACTATACTCTTCTGCACCTATTAGAAGACCTGCCGGCTTGCTGTCTATATCTTGGTAACAAAACTTTGTAGAAATTTTGAATGAAAAGCAGCACACCAAAAGCTTTAGTTTGAAGGAGAAGGCTCTTCCAGATAAAAGTAACCAGACAGTAAACTGAATCCTAAAGCATTTGATTCTGGAGCAGCTAATCCTGAGAGATGCATTCACTGGTCAGTTCTTGCAGCTTGTGTGTAGATGAAGGGATCTGCAGCAAACTTGCTGCACTGGTAAAACAAGCAGGGGTGCCAGTGAACAATAACTGTTGTAGGAAATACAGCATGTCCCCACTGCCAGGCAGTGCTGCCCTGTTAAAGATTACTAGTGCTGTAATGAGCAGATCACTTGGATACAAGTTTCTATAATTCTGTATTACCACATACTAATTGTTACTCACAAAGGTGAGCCCTTTTTTGGGTGCTTGAGAAGCATTTCAAAACTCATCCACAGAACTGGAGCATTCAGAGATGCAACTGGTGGCAAGAAGTGGTGCCTTGAATATGTAAAGTGATATCTGAGTAAGTGGGTAAAAAGGGAATCAATCAGATTTCATGAATTCAGTACCTAAAATTAGTTAATTATTCTTGGCAATTGATGCCTTTAATTTCCTTATGCCTCACTTCCCCCTTCTGTACAGAATGAGTAACACCATATCAGATTCCTGACAAACTGCAAAAAATACTCATTACTCTTCACAAAGCTGGCAGACATAGTGATAAAAGCCCACAGAAAAGCCCTTAAGCAAATGAATCCTGTTTAGTGCAGCGTTTCAGTGATATGCAGTAAATAATACTTGTGCTTCCCCACCAGATTGATTCTGAGTCTTTAACTAGTCAGAAACATCATCCACTCTCCCATAGAATAAAGACCAAGAAGAAGGAAAGCAGAGCGCATAGTTAGGCTGCATACCGCAAACAATTTGTTTAGAGTCTTAGCTTTCGTGTGTTTGCCTCCAGCGGGAGACGTTCCGGATTTCTGTTGGAGCTCCGGTCGCATGGTGGCAGCCTGGATCCGCGGGAGCCGCAGGCCACGGGGTGCGCCGGGCTCGCAGGAAATGCTGCCCGCCCTGCTCTTCCGAGGACTTCTTTCCGAAACGACGTTCGCAGCAGAATTTTCGGTAATTTTCACATCGAATTGTCGATAATCACGGGAGCATGAATACATTTCTGAGAGCAACATGATCCGCACTGAGTGAAGGCTGCGTGACTGACCTGTAATGTGAACCAGAGTACAAAAATACTCTACTTGTGTTTTAGGTGGTTTTATACCACAGCTACCAACTGTGGTAAACTTTCAGTACAGCTTTACAGCTTCCAAGCACCTTTCAGTACTCATTACACCTTGTTTGCTGTGGGCAGGATCTCCCAGGCAAGTGCCTGGAATAACGCTATGCCTCCACTTCGTTATGTGCGGCACAGCGTGTGTGACCCGAGAGCAGACCTGAGGAAACATGCCAGAATTGTGGAATTCAGTCCTTTTTACTGAAAGTAATTTTCTCTTGAGCAGCTGTTTTAGGATGTGTCATGGTTGAAGGAACAATAACAGAGGGGACAGGGTACTCAGAGTACTGAGTGGCCAGGGCAGGGTTCTGCCCTGAAACCCTAAATAACATGTAGCACCAACTTTAGCCACTTTGGTAGTTGCCTAATCTCCATTCTGAAAAAAATTCTTCAATTCTAATTAAAAAAGAGTAGAAAATATAGGTTTCTCATATGTCTCAGAAGAATGACTATAGTCTTTAATTAATAATTTCCCTAGTTTGCTGAACTGTTACCACTGACTATTTTCTAGGGAAAAAATTCCTGCATCTTTAAACCAGTACTTTGGCACAGTGCCCTACAAGAATACTGCCCATACATCATCTGTATATTTTCTAAAAGCTATACAGTGAAATCAGACAGTGCTTCACTCACAGGATGTCATGCTTCACATTCAACCTATTAATAAGAAATATGAGTGGAATGGAGATGACGAAACAGTAAAATAAAGTGCCTTCATGACCTGTAGTATTTAGAAAAAAATATAGTGCAGCTTCCAGACTGACTACCACACAGTATCTCTCCAAAACATGTGTCTAACAATGCCAGCTGAATATTCTTTTAGGTTTTTTAGCCACCATGTCCAGAAACAGCAAGAAGTTTGCAGGTTTTGCTTGGATAAGCAGCTATCACTATAGCTGCTTAAATTCTCTACACTGTCAGCTCCCCTCTTTTCTTCTGCCAGTAATGCTTAGCTATACAGACAAATCTATTTTTTCCCCCATTACTGGAGAAGAGCCTAAAGAGCAGTTACAGTGTAAATTTTACTATCAAGTTTTGATAATTCACATAAAAATATTTTCACATTTAAGAATTAAAAAATCCCAACAGGTAAAGGCAAATCAGGGTGCTAAAACTGTGGTGTACTAGCATCTGTTTTACACAGAAAATACAGTGGCTTAATTTCAGCTCTTATTTTTAATTTACTTGAATATTTGATTCTGTTTTTGCATTTTTTTTACTGGACAATACAGGAATCCACACAAACTGGAAAGTATACAATGACATAGTCTTTAAAATTTTTAAAGGATGTCCTCATGAGAAATTAAGTAATTAAACTTGCTCTTGAATTGCTCAGCAGTGATAGTCCCCACAACTTTTACTGCTAATACATATGAAGTCTTTCAAACAAGTTTTCACATATGCATTGAATGGCAACCTAAAAATCACCAAGCCCCCTCTCTGTAGCATGACACTTGCTTATTCCTAATCCATTGTAGCGTGACAGCTATTACTGACCTAAAAATTCTAATAAAACTTAAATTTAGTTTTGGCAAGGAAGAAGCTTTTGCAATTCACCACAATGATCTATAAATCCTCATTAACTCTACAGTGCACTGCTTGATTAGAAATCAACTTAATCAAGATGCTTCCCAAGGAATCAATTTATACCTAATGATACTTGGTGGCAAGGATAGCTGTTTAATTGGGATTGTAATTTCAGTTCACTGGGACACCTTCAGGTGACGTGGGTGGCACCCTGTGTGTTACAAGTAAGTGCATCCTCCTCATGGCACCTTGCAGTTGCCTCAGTCTGCCCTCACTTACCTCAGGTTCACAAAAAGGTACCAAAAATTACCTGACGCCACTTGCCAGTGGATCACAACCACCTTCCCATAACTCTGTAAGACTTCCCATAACTCTGTCAGACTATTTAAAACAGGGAGATGCTTAATACAGTACAGAAAGGTGCTGAGCTACTTGGTCAGCCTAATTTTAACGAAAATATTTAGCTCCTACAATAGCCAAGATTCTTCCTTCTTAAAAAGGCTTAAGAAAAGATTAATAAACAATGTATGGAAGGTAGCACCACATCTTTTTAAATCTTAAAATGTGCAATTACATGGTGTTCATTAAAGCATAGTCTTATCTGGAGCAACTACTGAAAACTAATTTAAACATGCTCTCTAAAGTTCAGACTGAATAACCAGAATTCAACATTTAATACAATAAATAATATTAGCACA